TTAAATTGTCTTCAGCTCAAAATAATCCTCCTGCCAAATGACATATTTTGAAGGGGCAAGTTTTGATTCCCTTCACCATGAAAATACATATTCACAGCCAAGTATTCTTAAATTAGTATTAAAATTCATATTTTTCTTGTTATCCTGATAGTGAAGACAAAACAGAAGCACAGATAGTATAGAAGACTTGTCTAAGATAGTCAAACTAAAGATACATGTCTTTTCTCTTAAAATTTTAATTCATTCTTTGCAATTAGCCATTTGGTCACCCGAGGGTTCTTGGAGAATCAGTCCTTATATTGAAATCTATTTCATTCACTACAGTCATGTTTTTGTTTCTCAAGTTCTGTTAAAAAATATCTGAAGTCCAAAGAGCATTTAGAGCACCAGATTCAGCAATTAGTGTGGTGATAATTTGACCATTTCTGCCTTTAACGATGCGATCTTTGTAGGAGCTCTTATGTTCATATTGGAAATGCTCACTGTACTCTTTTTGGAGGCATACTTTAAGTGACAACATTTTAAGCAATGGAGTCTTGCTGGTGACTAGCCCAGTGTGATAAAAATATAGCTACTCTCCCAATTAGAGCCATATTGCTTCATTATTAGAGGACTAGAGGCCTGGTGCACGAATTCATGCATGGGTGGGGTCCCGCCCCGACATATCTGGGCCAGCTGGTGGGGGTGAGGGGATGGGGGGAGGATGTGGGAGGTTCGCCACTGGCCCCACCCCCAATTGGGGTTGCGGGGACTGGTTGTGGGGAGGGGCCGAGGGAGGTTGGCCGGCTGGTCCCACCCCCATCAGGCTGGTTGGCTGGCTGCAGTGCACGTCATAGCAACCGGTCGTTCCAGTCTTACTGGTCACTTGGCTTTTATATGTATAGACTAGAGGCCCGATGCATGAAATTCATGCAAGGTGCTCATCCCCTGCTGCGCTGGTGGCTGGGGGCCTCTGCCACCTCTGCTTCCTCTGCCACCTTTGCTTCGGCTCCCGCCGCTGTGGCTTTGTCCAGAAGGATGTCTGATCTAATTAGCATATTACGCTTTTATTATCATAGATTAGGTATGAGGTTTAGGAAAACATTGTGTACACCAGTTCTTTCTATTCTTTGAGAAAAATACTTTCCTTTACAGCCTCTTTGCATTTGAATTTCAAAGGCAGGAGTGTTGTATGGTAAGCCTCTTGGTGATGGAATAGTTACAGTAAGGCACGAACAGACTGTTTTCCTGAGGTAGTCTGGGAAAATAATGCAAAATTTAATAACTCAAAATCATTTTACTAAAACACATTTTAGGCGACTTACTCTAACCTGCTGTTAGTACTTCATTTTATTTGTGTTCGCAGTGTTTATAAAAGCAAATTAATAAGGGTTCAAGTTCTGCTTGAAATTTTGTCTGTATGTGATTTTCATAGGCAGAAATAGCCACTATTGAGGCTAGTGGAGTTAAATAAGCTAGAAAACGTCTTTCTCTTGCCCATGCCTAATTGGTCACTGATTCCTATGGATTAGACTTCTTAATATCAATTTAATTTTCACCCTTCTCTATCTCCACCACTAGTGTGCCCTCAGCATTTCTCTCTAGATTTACTACAATGGCTTCCTATTGGATTTCTTTCTTTCTGCCTTGCCTTCCTATGACCCACCTTCTATTCACTCCTCAGTGAGTTTTGTCAAGTGTGAAATTGATATCACTTCATCCTTAAACATCTGTTCACAGCCAATTGCTTCAACTTGGCATATAAGGCCCTTTAGGATCTGGGGCTTGATTACCACCAGCCTCCTCTCCTACTTTTCTCTTTTGATGTATTTAAAGCCCTAATTATAATTTTCGGAATGCAGCATGCTGGCCCTTTTAATTCCATTTGCCTAGAATGCTTCACAACATCCCACTTGTCTGACATCATCCTTTACAACTCATTTTAACTGTTGCCTCTTTGGGAAGCCTTCTCTAACTTATTCTCCCCATTATGGATTTATCTTCATCCACATTCTCCCACAGTAGGAGCTAAATAGCTTCTCTCTACTCCCAAAGGACTGTATCACTTTATTGTCATGCTGTATTGTACTTTTTATTACCCATCTTTTTCTTCCGACAAATTTTTATATTCCTAGAGGCCAACGACTATTATTAATATCCTTTTTAAGTAGAGTATTTAGTAAAGTATCAGTAAATGCTTTTTAAAAACTTTTTATTTTGAAATAATTTAAGATTTACACAGAAGTCAAATATAGTAAAAAAATACTGTGTACTCTTCTCTCAGCTTCCCCAAATGTTAACATTATTCCATATTCATTTTATTGTTCTCTCTCTTATCTATATATATAAAAGCCTAAGGGACCATTAGGACCAAATGACCAGATCACTGGAATGACTGGTCGACTGGTTGCTCTGATGTGTGCTGACCGCCAGGGTGCAGATGCTCATCACAGGAGCTGCCCCCTGGTGGTTAGTGCGCTCCCACAGTAGGAGTGCCGCTCGGCCAGAAGCCAGGCTCACGGCTGGCGAGCGCAGCTGCTTCAGTGGAAGCCTCTCCTGCCTCCACGGCAGTGCTATTGAACAGTGGTGGTGGCAGTGGTGGCGGCAGCAGCAGGCGCAGTGGGGCCGGAATGAGTGGCAGCGGAGCTGCTCCCGGCCCCAGTGGGGCTCCTCCGCAGCCACCTGCCGCTTCAGCACTGCTACATCCCTTGGGGGGATGTCAGACAGTGGGTTTCGCCTGATCCCTGCAGGCCAGCTGTCTGCAGGCCAGGGATCAGGCAAAAACAGCAGTCTGACATCCCCCTGAGGTGTCCTGGATTGCAAGAGGGTGCAGGCCAGGCTAAAGGACCCCACCCATGCATGAATGCATGCACCAGGCCTCTAGTTATGTTATATTTTTCTAAACAGTTTGAGATTAAGTTGAAGACATGATGCCTCTTTAACCTGAATACTGGAGTGTGTTTCCCAGGAACAAGAATATTTTCTAACAGAACCAGAATACAATGATTAAAATCAGGAAATTAGCATCAATATGACATTATCTATTGATGCTACCAATTATCCCACTAATGTGCTTTATAGCAAGTAATAATAATAGATATTTTTTCTTGGTCAGGATTCAGTCGAGGACACGGTGCATTTTGGTTTCTTTTTTTGTTTGTTAAATATCTTTTATTTTGGGAGGCAGGCAGTGCCTCAGTCTTTCTTTGTATTTCATGACCAGTTATTTTATAGACTATCTCTCAATTTGGGTTGCAGGGAAAACTTGTGAAAAACTTGGAAATGGATCAAAAGTTTACTAGGTGTCTCCAAGGAGAATCAGAAGTTGCCTGGCATACCTATCTTTCAAGTGATCTGATTTCTATGCATCTCTGAGCCTTTCATTACAGTCAAGCTCTTTAATAGTGCTGTAGGTCATAGAAAACTGATAGCAGTGCAAATGCTTCTTATGCATAGGAATTGCAAATTATGTCTAGTGGGATGCAGTTGATTGTTGCTGTTAACCAGTTTTAGTAGCTTTTGTGTTTACTTGTAAATTTATTTCAACATTCCTTATTTGACTATATGAGTAGTACTTTGGTTTCTCCTTCTAACTGGTTATAATATTTTACTGGTTTTGTCATTAGTTAATGAGATATAAATGTTCAATACATGTGTATTTTATACCCATGTAAGAGCCATGATTATACTTTACAATTCTTTTCCCTTTAACAGACTTTATATAATATTTATTCATTATTAGATTTACTTTATTTTTTTTTGTAAGGATACTACAAAAAAGTAATTTTGTTTTCTCAGTACATCATATCAGGAGGCACATGATGTCTATTTGCCCGTTACCAATGCTGTTAACTGGGATCACTTGGCTGAGGACACATCTGCCTGGTTTTTCCACTGTAAAGTTACTATTTTTTTTTCTGTAACTATTAAGTATCTTTTGATGAAATATTTAAAAAATATGTTAATGTTCTGTTTCATATCAAACTTCTATTTACTGGTTTTAGCATCCACTGATGATCCTTGGCTGAATAAAAAATTATTACTATGATGGCTTGCCGAACCGGTTTGGCTCAGTGCATAGAGCGTTGGCCTGCAGACTCAGGGGTCCCGGGTTCGATTCCGGTCAAGGGCATGTACCTTGGTTGTGGGCACATCCCCACTGGGGGGCGTGCAGGAGGCAGCTGATCGATCTCTCTCATCGATGTTTCTGGCTCTCTATCCCTCTCCCTTCTTCTCTGTAAAAAATCAATAAAATATATATATTTTTAAAAATTATTACTATGATGGTCACTAAATGATGATTTTCAATTTTTTTATTTTTTTTACATTTATTATTTGTCATTTCAGTATAATGAAGTGTTTTTCCTTTTCTTCCAGTTATTTTTTAAAAATATATTTTTATTGGTTTCAGAGAGGAAGGGAGAGATGGAGACATCAATGATGAGAGAGAATCATCGATATGCTGCCTCCTACACGCCCCCCACTGGGGATTGAGCCCCCAACCCAGGAATGTGACCTTGACCAGAATCAAACCCAGGACCCATCAGTCTGCAGGCCGACGCTCTATCCACTGAGCCAAATCAGCTAGGGCTCTTCCAGTTATTTATGTTAGTATGGACATACTGATTTCTGTTTTATTCTGTGGGTTATAATATGTTGTCTTTATTACTATGTTGATCAAGTTGTTTCAAATTTGGGCAGTGGGATCCTCTTTGTGGGCTCCTGTGTCCTGACATGTTACATCATTATTTCAGCACTTCCTTACTTTCTGGCACAACAAGATGTGCCAGGTTTGTGTCTATGAAAGAACGTCCAAACTGTGAGAATGTCACTTAGGGAGTTACAATATTTTTTATTCTTGGGGTTCTAAAGGAAGTATGTTAGTGAAAGATTCTGCTTTTTTTTTTTTTTAATTTTTAAGGGTAATTAATGATGGTAAATATATGAAATATATTTGCACATGTGTATTTTATGGATTTTTCTAGTATGTGGATATTCTGACATTCTACTCTTATTTTCAGATTGCTGAAGCTAAAGGAGATATTTAATTCTAAGTTTGGATCCATTCCCAAGTTTTATGTTCGAGCACCAGGAAGGGTCAACATAATAGGTATTTCAAAAGTTCCTTCTCTAATTTTTTTCCTCCTTTGATAAGATCCAATTTTTTGTTAATACATTATTTTCTTATTTTTTCCCTGGGAGAACTGAAAAAAATAGAATATTTCACATATACCTACTCAAGCTTTTACATAAGAAACCACACTATACTTTTATCTTTCCCAATCCGTGTTATTGTTAATTTTTTCCATTCATTTAAAACATTTATTGAAACTAGTTATTAATGTTGTTTCATGAGGAATAAAAATATTTTTCTGTGCTTCAGGTTACATTTTTAGACTGTGGTGAGTAATTTTGATGATTTTACGTTTACTCATTGTATTAGAATACTAGAAATCTTATAACTCCTCATTTTTATTTATTTTATTTATTTTTGTTAATCCTGACCCAAGGATATTTTTCCATTGACCTTTTAGAGAGAGTGGAAGAGACGGAAAGACAGAGAGAAACATCCATATGAGAGAAATACATTGATTGGTTGCCTCCTGCACACATCCTGACTAGAGCCCAGGCTGGGGAGAAGCCTGCAACTGAGGTACATGCCCTTGACTGGAATTGAACCTGGGACCCTTTGGTCTGCAGGCCGATGCTCTATCCACTGAGCCAAACAAGTTAGGGCTAATTCCTCGCTTTTAATTATGTGATGACCTAAAGAATGATTGCTTTTAAAACATTTCTTTATAAGAGTTTATTTGAGCCACACTGACAACATGAGGTGGGAGCAAGATCACAAATGCTCGGGAGAAGGTTTTGCAGTTTCTTTTATGCATTTGAGATTAAGGAAGGAAAATAAAAAAGATCACATGATGGTGGGAGAAAGCAATTCAGGGACTGGAGTACAGGATAGTTAAACTCAACCTTTGAAGAAGAGTTCTGAAGGACCATTTCAAAGTTGTTAACCTAGATGCACAGAAACAATGGACAGGGCTTACTTAAGGCAAAGATAAGCCTTTACTAAAGAAGTTATATGCCTGGGACATGACTACCAACCATAACCTGCCCAGTTAGGAATTTATGATCAGATCACTCTGTGAGATGACTTTCCATAGAAGCCCCTTTTCCATCCACAACAGGAACTTATGTAGCTCCCTATCCAGTTAAAATCATATTTAAACACTGTGGTATGAGGTGTGATCATATCCATTTCATCAATATTTATTGAATACTTAACCTGTGCTAGGATGCCATAATGTATAAAACTGGAACAGTGGCAGTCTTCATGTGAGAATGATTTGTTTTTATTGAGAGAAAATAGGATGGAGAACTGAGAAAACTTCAGGATTCAAAGGAGGATTTAAAAAAAACTTTTAAAATGAAAAGTGTAAACATACAAAAAAGTAATTGGCATCCTATATAATAAAAGGCTAATATGCAAATCAACCGAATGGCTATGACGTGCACTGACCACCAGGGGCAGACACTTAACGCAGGAGTGCCACTCAGCCAGAAGCCAGGCTCATGGCTGGCCAGTGCAGCTGCAGTGTCAGGAGTCTCTCCTGTCTCCATGGTAGCACTAAAGATGTTCGACTGCCCGCTCCCCGCCTAAACCTTCAGTCGGACACCCCCCGAGGGCTCCCGGACTGCGAGAGGGCACAGGCTGGGCTGAGGGACCCCCCTGAGTGCATACATTTCATGCACTGGGCCTCTAGTAATATAATAAACTCCCATATACCCAATAGCTTCAATTATTTTCCACTCAGGTGATCTTATTTTATTTCGAAGCAAATAATGGAGGATTTAAAAAATATGAGATGTTTAAATGATGGGGAAAGGGCAATGGAGTAAATCCAGTGGAGAGAGATTGAAGACATCTGAGAAGAGAGGAACTGATGCAGCAGAATTCCCTAGAGGGCAAGAGGGCTGGTATCTAGAGCATAGGAAGAGGGCCTCTTTGACTCTTTTTTTTTTTTAATAAATATATTTTTATTGATTTCAGAGAGGATGGGAGAGAGCTAGAGAGATAGGAACAGCAGTGATGAGAGAGAATCATTGATTGGCTGCCTCCTGCACGTCCCCCACTGGGAGGGATTGAGCCCACAACCCGGGTATGTGCCCTTGGCCAGAATCAAACTGGGGACCCTTTAGTCCACAGGACGATGCTCTATCCACTGAGCCAAACTGGCTAGGGCTGACTCTTTTTAACAGAAGGCAAGGAAGGAAAGGATACAGGTTGATGTAGGTAAATGTATAATTTTTGCATAGGAGATTGAGGGAGTTCTTATAGGGGGGAATTGGGAGGAGTTGTAAGTTTAAGGAGAAGGCAGAAAATTTGAAATAGCCTTGCGAAGGATAGGAGAGGGAGATGCCTGGAAAAACAAAAGGTTTGCTGGGAACATTGCGGTCTGGCTAGACCTGGAGACCAAGAATTATAGCAATACTGGTCTCCAGAGTTTTCATTTTTTTCTTTTCAGCTAGTCTAAGTTGCTTGTGTTTGATCTAGATTTGGGGTTTTGTTTTATATGGAGGTTACAAGAGAATGGCAGTGGCTTTAGGAAGTTGGTGATATGAACCCTAGAATCTGTGCTGGGTTGAAGAAGCAAGAAAGGTAGTAGGGAGTTTAGAGGGTAGAGAGCAAAGAACTGAGTCTGGAAAACAGGAAAGCAGGATGGTGTTAGTAAAGAATATGGTATTTGAAATTAAAACTTCATAGGTAGAAAAGGTCCAAGTGATCAGAAGGTTTTAAGTCATTACTAAAATTGTCAAAACCATGGAAGTAAGTAGATGGCTGAGGTAGGGAGGAGTCAGGTTCTCCAGAGGTCAAGGGATTAGGAAGGTGGGGCCTTAGACTGGGTTGTTTACTTGAATTTGTGTAGGTTATTGCAGGATTGGGATGGAAGGAGATGCTAAGGTCTTCACTGAAGAACCAAGTATCTAAGAGAGTCATAGATGAGAATGATGAGGAGAGAATGTGGTCAAGCATCTGAAGAACAGGAGCACAGGAAAAAGGCCTGGAAACAGCAGAGTGGGAGAACAACAACTTGCTACCATGAAAGGACTGAAAAGAAGCAATAGCCTCAGATCAGAGCCAAGCTTCCTTTAGTTTTGTGGGTAAAGTTTCAAAACTAAGGATTTTCCTGATAAGTAATTCTTATTCTAGTAAATTTATTGTTTATTTTCTGATTTTAAAAAAGGGGGGTGTTATGTTTCAATATAGTTAAAATAGTTAGTGCTTGGGATGAAATGAATTTCAGTGTTCATTAAAAGCATTATTATATTTCCTGTTAAAATATGCAGAATATAATTGTCTTATTTTCCTACTTGCCAGCAGTTCCTGCTCCCCGCCTGTCCCTTACCCAGTGTATTTCCATAATTGTTGACAAAAGGAAGAATGTCAGAAGGCTGTCACCCATACTGCAACTTTCCCAATAGAATCTGGTGCCTCCCTGCAGTTCTACTTCTTTAAATACGTGTTTTTTTACTTGTGAACCATTGTTTTGTATTGTTGTCTACTTGAAGGAAGTTGGGGAGAAAGATAACTTTGAAAACTACTTCTCCATCTGTCATTGTCAATCTAGGAAAAGCCCTTTATTTTTATTTTATTATTTTTTTGTGTTCTGTATATTTGTTTATTTTGTGTTTTAGATTCAATTGTTGGTAGATATGTATTTATTGCCATTTTATTGTTCATATTTTTGACGACCTCCTCTCCTTCCTTCCTTCCTTCCTTCCTTCCTTCCTTCCTTCCTTCCTTCCTTCCTTCCTTCCTTCCTTCCTTCCTTCCTTCCTTCCTTCCTTCCTTCCTTCTTCTCCTCCTCCTCCTCCTCTCCTTCTCCTCTTCTTCCTCCTCCTCCTCTTCCTTCTTCTTGAAGACCTTTTGGCAATTCTTGTAATGCTGGTTTGGTGGCAATAATCTTTAGCTTTTCCTTGTCTGGGAAGCTCTTTATATGTCCTTCAATTCTAAATGATAGCTTTGCTGGGTAGAGTAATCTTGGTTGTTGGTCCTTGCTTTTCATCACTTTGAATGTTTCTTGCCACTCCCTTCTGATTTGAAAAATTTTCCCATGTAGGTAACTACTCCTTTTCTCTTGCTGCTTTTAAGACTCTCTGTCTTTAGCCTTTTACATTTTAATGGTTATTTGTCTTATTGTGGTCCTCTTTGGGTTCCTCTTATTTGACTCCCTGTGCTTCCTGGACTTGTATGTCTATTTACTTCACGAGGTTAGGGAAGTTTTCTGTCATTATTTTTCCAAATAGGTTTTCTATTTCTTGCTCTCTCTCTTCTACTTCCGGTATTTCCATGATATGAATGTTGGTATGCTTGAAGTTGTTCCAGAGACTTCTCACGCTATCCTTATTTTTCTGGATTTTTTTTTTCTGTTCTGATTGGATGATTTTTGCTTCTTTATACAGGGTGTCCTCCCCAAATGTATACACACTTTGAAAAATTATTAATTCCAACGGGTTAAATCTGAAAAGGAAGAAACGTCAATTGAGCTAGCAGCTGTAAAGTGTGTATACATTTTTTGGGACACCATATGTGTCTACTCTGTTGTTGATTTCCTCTGAATTATTCTTCATTTCAGTTAGTGATTTCATTTCTGATTTTTTTTTAACGGTTTCCATGTCTCTAAGTTCCTCAAGCATACTTATAACCAGAGTTTTGAACTTTGCATCTAATAGATTGCTTGTCTCTATTTTGTTTAGTTCTTTTTCTGGAGTTTTGTTTTGTTCTTTTGGAACATGTTTCTTTGTCTCCTCATTTTGGCAGCCTCCTTGTGTTTGTTTCTATGTATTAGGTAGAGCTTCTATATGTCCCAGGGTTGGTAGAGTGGCCTAATGTAGTAGGTGTCCAGTAGGATCCAGTGCTACAGCCTCCCCCTTTACCCGAGCTGGGAATTCCAGGTGCACCCCCCAGTGTGGGCTGTGTACACCCACTTGATGCAGTTGAGCCTTGATTGCTGTTGGCATGTCAATGAGAGAGATGGCTGAAAAGACTGGATATAAGGATTGCCAGAGACCACTGTGAAAGATCGACTATGCAGGGGCCCATTCTACCAAGCAGGACTTACTTCAGCAGGTCTGCAGTCCTGCTAAGTTGCTTGTGGAGGTGGTTGGTGGTGCTTTGATGTGTCTGAAACTGTCCACTGGATGCCCTGGCTTTGGGGCCTCCCAGGAGGTGCAGGCCAAGGTCAGCTGCCACCTGTGTTTTGCCTGGGGCCATCCAGCATGAGCTACAAAGTGAACTGCAGATGACTGCTACTTGTTCTTGGCTTTGAAGTACCCAGAAGAGGCCAAGCTTGGAACCTAAACCAGCTGCCACTAGTATTAGGCCTGGGACCACTTAGTGAGAGGTACAGGGCATGCTGAGGCCAGCTGCTGCTTATTTGAGAGATTTTAGGAAAGTCTGAAGCAAGGGTCCTCAAACTACGGCCCGTGGGCCACATGCAAATACAAATATTGTATTTGTTCCCATTTTGTTTTTTTACTTCAAAATAAGATATGTGCAGTGTGCATAGGAATTTGTTCATAGTTTTTTTTTTAAACTATAGTCCGGCCCTCCAACGGTCTGAGAGACAGTGAACTGGCCCCCTGTTTAAAATGTTTGAGGACCCCTGGTCTGAAGTATCAGCCAAGACAGGTCATTTGTATGGAAAAGCCACTGGAAACAGCTTGGGTGGGCCCACAGGTTGGTAGGGTCTCAAGGAATAACCAGGGCAGGGCAAATAATGTGAGCCAAGTTGATGGGGACTCAAATATGGTGCCTACTTGTTGGCTCTGTGGGAGAAGGGCTCAGAAAAGGAACAGTGGCTTCTACCAGCACTTCTGTCTGGGAGAAAGCTGTCCCTCCAGCTCTGTCCCTGATGCCAGACACTTCAGTTCCTCCCAGTATGTCTCTGGTGCCTTTCAGGCTACTTACTGCCCCACTGTTGGAACTCAGAGGGAATGAATCCGAGTAAGTCCATGTGTGGGCCCTTTAAGAGGAACTGCTTGGGACTCCAGCCACCCTCGGTGTTACTCAGCCACAATCCCCACTGATTTTTACAGCCAGAAGTTATGGGGACTTTTCTAACTGACACTAAAACCCTAGACTGAGGGAGTCTTCTGTGGGGCTGGAACCCCTCAATCCTTATGGGGGACCTCCACAGCGGAGTCCCCATCAACTTGGCTCACAGTATTTGCCCTGCTCTGGTGATTCCTGATTTTTATTTGCCATATGTGGGTATGGGAACAGCCTATCTGTGTCTCCTCTGTTCTTAACAGTCTCAATGTGGCTTCTTCTTTATATTTTTAACTGTAGGACTTCCAGTCAGCTAGATTTCAGGTGGTTTTGAATGATGGTTGTTCTGTAGTTTAGTTGTATTTTTCATGTGGTTATGGGAGGACTCTGCCATCTTGACCAGAAGTCTGTTTTATTATTTTATAAAAAATATATCAATTCTATATCAATGTAGAAAGAAAAGGTTTGTTATCTGTAAGAACATGTAAAATAATATTTGTTTTTAAAAATATGATTATGCAATTGAATTGCCTTCTATTCATTTCTCAGTTGATCAATATCTGCCACAGGAGCAATCCTATATAATAAAGAGCTAATATGCAAATGGTTGTCACACCCTTGCACCCTCGCTCTGGGGCCAGGGGACCTGAGGCCTCGCTCGGTGCTGGGCCGGGGGACTTGAGGCCGCACCCCTCGCCCCAGTGCTGGGGCCAGGGGACCTGAGGTCGGGCTGGGGGACCTGAAGCTGTGCCCTGCCTCCTGGTGCCAGGCTGGGGGACCTGAGGCTGCACCCCCTCCCCAGTGGGGCTTAACGGGGGACCTGAGGCTGCGCCCCCAGCCCTGTGGGGCTTTATGGGGGTGGGGCCGGCTGGGTCTGGATCTCATGCAATTTTGAGGTGCATGTGGGTTGGCAGGGACTTGACTCTGGGTCCCGCAACATGCCCCAGACTCTGACAGGAGGGAGATTTTCATATACATTGTACTAATTTTCTTTCATCTCTGACACTTCTATTATAGAGAAAGGGTAAATAACAATATTAAAATATTTCCTCTAATTAATTCCCTTTTAATGTGCATGAATTTTGTGCACCGGGCCACTAGTCAGATATAAAAACCTGGTATGGGGCCCAGCCAGCGTGGCTCAGTGGTTGAGCATAGACCTATGAACCAGGAAGTCATGGTTCACTTCCTGGTTAGGGCACATGCCTGGGTTGCAGGCTCCAGTGTGGGTTGTGCTGGAGGCAGCCAATCAATGATTCTCTCTCATCATTGATGTCTCTATCTCTCTCTCCCTTTCCCTTCCTCTCTGAATCAATAATAAAAAAAAATAATAAAACAAACAAACAAAAACACCTGGTATGGGGAAATATAAATGAGCTTGTTTAACCCACCTTCTTGAATTATTATTTTGTAGTTAAATCTTATGTATAAGAACCTTGAATTTAAGTGATAATTTGAAGACATTATGGTATAATAGAAAACAATTCTTCCTGGTGTTTCATGGAAGAATTAGAATTAAAAGAATAGTTTACTTCCTATATTTGCTTACTATATATAAAGTAATACAGAATAAATATTCTTCCTTCAGCTTCTTTTTCTTTATCCTAGCTATGTGGAGCATATTCAACACAACTTACTATTGCCAGGCATTTGGTTAGACCACAAAGAAAAATAAAGCAAAATCCTCACCTTTGGTGACCTCATTCTTTAGTAAGGAAGAGAGTGGGACTCACATAGTGTTAATATAAGGGAGAGTGTGCTAAAGGCTTCAATCATTCATATTTTAAAAGTTGATACAAAAAACAACAGAAGAAGGAGATAGTGCTCTTGATGCTTCACAATTATTTGAAAGTGTTCATTATGAATCAGAAAGTGGAAAAAAAACTTATGAAGGCTTAAACAACTCTAAAATTGATAGAAAATAATAACTAATATATTTCTGCTAGCAGAAGTTCCTGGCTCAGATATCTGGGAGAAAAAGAAACCCAAATCAGTTTCTGCCCATAGTATTTTATTTTCTGTTAAAACCTAGCTTGTGGTCAAGTTTTTTCCTCAGTGTCAACTTGTGTTACTCTTGTGTTGTAAGTTTTCAATGATAAAAAATGCTTTCTCTTTTTCCTAGGAGAACATATAGATTACTGTGGATATTCTGTTCTTCCTATGGCTGTAGAACAAGATATGTTAATAGCTGTGGAACCTGTGAAAACACACACTCTCCAACTGGCCAATACAAATCCCTTGTACCCGTGAGTATTTAGGATTGGTACTATGTGCATGTGTGTGTGTGTTTGTATTTATATCCAAATGAACTCTTTAGGAGCTGTTAATTTTATAATAAATGATTTAGTTTATTGAAAATTTGTATCTGACTTGCAAAATAGTCTAAGGCTACTATTTAATATTTGTTTATTTTATTTGTTCTATCATTCATTTAAGAAATATTTACTGGCCCTAGCTGGTTTGGCTCAGTGGATAGAGCATTGGCCCACAGACTATAGATTCTAGTCAAGGGCACATACCTCAGTTGTAGGCTCAATTCCTGGCTCTTGTTGGGGCATGTGCTAGAGGCAACCAATCGATGTGTCTCTCACACATTGATCTTTATCTCTCTCTGTCTCTCTCCCTCTTTTCTACTCTCTCTAAAAAATCAGTGGAAAAATATCCTCAAGTGAGGATTACCAACAAAAAGAGAAATATTTACTGAAGAAGGAGAACCAAGATGGCAGCGTAGATAAATGCTGGTACTCACCACCTCCCTCAGCCACATCAAAATTACAACTAAAATACAGAACAGCCATCACTCAGAACCTCCTGAAATCTGGCTGAATAGAAGTCCTATAACTAGAGAAGTAAAGAAGAAAGTACATCAAGACTGCCTCACCCAAGCTGTTTGCAGAGGCTTTTCCGTATGAACAACCTGTCCTGGCTCAGGCTTCAGACTTTCCTAAAATCTCTCAAACAAGCAGTACCTAACTAGCATGTCAGCATGCCCCATACCTATCGATAAGAGGCCCAAGACCTGGCACTAGCACCAGCATGCCTTACTTTATAGCTTGGTCTCACCTAGGTACTTCCAAACCCAACACAGGTAGCAGTCATCTGCTGATTGTTCTGTAGCTTCTGCCATGTGGCTCCAGGCAGTGGCTGACTTTGTATCTCCCAGGAGGCTCCAGAGCCAGTGCACCTGGTGACAGCTTCAGACCATACCAGATTACAGCTCTATACATCCACAAATGACACACTCAAGGGGCAGACTCAGTGAGCACCAAAGCACCACTGAAGCAAGTCCTGCTCGACAGGGGTATCTCTTGCATACCAACTCTTCCATTGTAGATGCTGCTGGTCCTTACAACCAATTGGTCTCGAGGTCAACTCCTCCAAGTGACACCAACAGCAATCAAAGCTCAACTATAAGACTGTGCACACAGCCCACACAGGGGCACACCTAGCGCTCTCAGCTCAGGTGACTGGAGAGTCTGAGCTACTGAGCCCTACAGGACACTTACTACACAAAGCCACTCTACCAATTCCAAGAGATATAGCAGCTCTAATGAATACATAGAAACAAACACAGGGAAGCAGCCAAAATGTGAAGATGATGAAACATGTCACAAATGAAAGAACAGAAGAAATCTCCAGAAAAAGAAATAAATAAGAGAGCAACTAAGATGGCGGCATAGGTAAACACCGGGAAATTATTGCCTCACACAACAATTGAAAATTACCGCAAAGGACTGAGCAAACATCATCCAGAACAACAGGAAGGCTGGCTGAGTGTAAATTCCACAACTAGAAGGAAAGAAAAGCACGCTGAGAGCCAGAGGCGCTGCGGAGGTGAAGTGCAGAGGTACGGCGGCGCGCGCGCGCGAGGAAAGGGGGTGGCGCCTGAGGACGCGGCTGTCTTTTTGAATCACAAACTCCCAACGGCTCTGAACTCCGGTTCCGGGAAGTCTCTGGGGACCCAGGTCTCATACGGGGAGAAGCTGGTCTGTCCGGCAGCGAGCGAACTTGAGGGCGGCTTGCCCTCAGAGGTGCCTGCAGCCGTTACCGGAACACTGAGACGCGCGACTCCGGGCGGAGAATCGGCCATGGCCGCTTTCTCCGCCCTCTGACTCCCTGAGACCCCACCCCACCCAGACTGCGGCAGAGGCTTTTGCATGTGAATGTACCTAACTGCAGCCGAACCAGGCAGACCTGGAACTTCCAAGAGAAGGCCCAAGGCCCCGCAGCGGCTTGCATTGCTTCACAGCTGAGCCTCTTCGTGGCTCCTGCTGTGTGGCCTCAGGCAGAGGCTGAATTAGCACCTCCTTAGATCCAGGAGCCACTGTACCCAGTGGTCAGAGGGGGTCCATCCTGACTGCAACTCCTCAGATCCATAAGGGACGCACTCAGGGAGCAGACTCAGTGAGCACCAAAGCCCCACTGAAGCAAGTCTTGCCCCAGAAGGGTGTCTTCAGCACAGAAGTTCTCCCACTTTAGACACAGCTGATTCTCACAGCCAATTGGCCTGGAGGTCAATTCCTCCCAGTGATTCTACAACAACCAAGGCACCAAGAGTGCACCAAGAGTGTCCACCCCAGGTAACTGGGGAGGCTGAGCTACTGGGCCCTACAGGACACCTGGCGCACAGGGCCACTCTATCAACACAGGGAAGCTGCCAAAATGCGGAGACAAAGAAACAGGTCACAAATGGCAGAAATGGAGGAAAGCAAACGATTGGATATAGAGTTTAAGGCCACGGTTATAAGGTTTTTCAAGAATTTTATGGAAACCGCCGATAAATTTAATGAATCCCTCAATAAGTATAGGGAGACCATGGAGGACATGAAAAGGACCAACTAGAAATTAAGCATACACTGACTGAAATAAAGAATAATTTACAGATATCCAGCAGCAGAAAAGAGGATCCCAAGAATCAAGTCAAAGATTTGAAATACAAAGAAACAAAAAATACCCAACCGAAAAAGAAAAAAGAAAAGAGATTCCAAAAATATGAAGATAGTGTAAGGAACCTCTGGGACAACTTCAAGCGTACCAACATCAGAATTATAGGGGTACCAGAAGGAGAGAGAGGGCAAGATATTGAAAACCTTTTTGAAGAAATAATGACAGAAAACTTCCCCTACCTGGTGAAAGAAATGGACTTACAAGTCCAGGAAGCGCAGAGAACCCCAAACAAAAGGAATCCAAGGAGGACCACACCAAGACACATCATAATTAAAATGCCAAGAGCAAAAGATAAAGAGAGAATCTTAAAAGCAGCAAGAGAAAGACAGTCAGTTACCTACAAGGGAGTACCCATACGACTGTCAGCTGATTTCTCAACAGAAACCATGCAGGCCAGAAGAGACTGGCAAGAAATATTCAAAGTGATGAATAGCAAGAACCTGCAACCAAGATTACTTTATCCAGCAAAGCTATCATTCAGAATAGAAGGTCAGATAAAGAGCTTCACGGATAAGAAAAAGCTAAAGGAGTTCATCACCACCAAACCAGCATTATATGAAATGCTGAAAGGTATTCTTTAAGAAGAGGAAGAAGAAAAAGGAACTCTTACCATTTGCCACAGCATGGATGGAACTTGAGAGCGGATAAATACCACAGGATCTCACTCATTTGTGGAATTTAATGAACAACATAAGCTGATGAACAAGGACTGATCCAGAGACGGAGAGGCATTGATTGGACTGTTGGGACTTGGAGGGAAGGTAGGGGAGGGTGGGGGTAAGGGGGAAAGATCAACCAAAGGACTTATATGCAAGCATATAGGCCTAACCAATGGACATGGACAACGGGGGGGTGAGGGCATGAGCGGGGGTGGGGGGGGTGGGGGGTAGAGGGTAACGTGGGGACAAGGACACATATGTAATATCTTAATCAATAAAAAATATATTAAAAAAAAATAAAAAAAAATAAATAAAATGGAAGTAAGCAAACTACTGAATACAGAGTTCATAACAATGGTTATAAGGTTGGTCAAGGATCTTAATGAGAGCTTCAGCAGACTTAGTGAGACTTTCAAGGATCTCAGTGAGAAGTTCAAAGACATGGAAAAGGACCTGTCAGAAATTAAGCATACACTAACTGAAATAAAGAATAATCTACAGGGATTCAACAGTAGAGTAGAGGATTCTGAGAATCAAATCAACGAGTTGGAATATGAAGAAGCAAAAAACAATCAGAAGGGCAAAATGAAAAAAGAATCCAAAAATATGAAGATAGTGTATGGAGCCTTTGGGACAACTTCAAACGTACCAATATTTGCATTATGGGTGTGCCAGAAGGAGAAGAGAGAGAGCAAGATATTGAAAACCTATTTGAAGAAATAATGACAGAAAACCTCTCCTACCTGGTGAAAGAAACAGACTTACAAGTCCAGGAAGCCTGAGAGGCCCAATTAAGATGAACCCAAAGAGGCCAAGACAAATCATAGTTAAAATGCCAAGGGTTAAAGACAAAGAATCTTAAAAGCAATAAGAGAAAAACAGTTAATTACCTACAAGGGAGCACCCATACGATTGTCAGCTGATTTCTCAACTTTGCAGGCCAGAAGGCAGTGGCAAGAAATATTCAAAGCGATGAATAGCAGGGACCTACAACCAAGATTACTCTACCCAGCAAAGCTATCATTTAGAATTGAAGGTCAGATAAAGAGCTTCCCAGACTAGAAAAAGCTAAAGGAGTTCATCACCACCAAATGGGTATTACATGAACTGTTGAAGGGTATTCTTTAAGCAGAGGAAGAAGAAGGAGATAGAAAATATGAACAATAAAGTGGCAATAAATACATATCTGTCAACATTTGAATCTAAAAATCAAAAGAAACAAACAAGGAATTTAATGAACAAAATAAACTGATGAATAAAATAGTACCAGGGGCATGGAAACATGGAACAGATTGACAATCTCAGAGGGAAGCAGTGAGGTTGGGCAGGAAGATGTTAACCAAAGATCTTATACATGCTAGAGGCCCGGTACATGAAATTCATGCACAGTCAGTACAAAAAAAAAAGATTTGGCATATAATTGGCACATTATATTTTTGGCTTATTGTTCATTGGACAATTTGCCTGCAATTATGTTTATTCTGCAGTTATTTTATGTGTGCCTTTGAAAAGGCATTATACCAGGTTGTGCAAGATATAGAAATTCCTTACGTTTATATAGAACTTACTGTATAAGATCCTTTTATTTTCTATTTACTTTGCATAATTGAGAATATATGTTACATACATTTTGGACCATT